GTGCTATCACTCCAGCCACAGAAATTGTATTTTTATAAATGAAACTTTTCTGCATTTGTGTGTATACAAATAAAATACATGCAAATGAAAATACATTCCAGTTTAACATGAATTCTGATCTATAATAGTAAATATGATTAGTAATAGTAAATATATCGATACCTTTCATTTTACTTTCCTTATATTTAACTTTTGGACTTGAGTGATAGCACAGCGGGTAGGGCGATTGCCTTACACGCAGCCGACCCGGGTTCGATTTCTCCGTCCCTCTCGGAGAGAGCCTGGCAAGCTACTGAGAGTATCCCACCTGCACGGCAGAGCCTGGCAAGCGTATTGATATGCCAAAAACAGTAACAAGTCTCACAGTGGAGATGTTACTGGTGCCTACTCGAGCAAATCAATGAACAAAGGGGGGACATTGCTAAGTGCTATGTATTTGACTTTTGGTACTCCGTTAAAATAATGTGATCCCCCCTCCCCCCACTATCACCCTGTTGTTTACCGATTCGCTCAAGCAGGCACAGTAACATCTCCATTTGTCCCTGTCACGGGATAGTGTAGCCCGATGACATATTGGGGGCTCCTTTAGGATCAGGGGAATGAGGACCATTCATTGTTACTGTTTTTGACATACCGAGTACGCTACGGTTAGCTTGTCAGGCTCTGCCGTGCGGGCGGGATACTCTCGGTAGCTTCCGGGCTCTCCAAGAGGGATGGAAGCTTTTGGGGCAGCCTGTAATCACCTTTACAGGTGTTCCTAGTCAGGCATGTAGGCGGTATGATACTCTCAGTAGCCTGCCGGGTTCTCTGAGAGTGAGAACTAGAGAATAAGAGCTCCCGGGAGCTTGGTTTAAAAGTCTCTGGATCCTGGCCATTGATGGGGTTACACGGCAGTTGGTGGGTGTAAACTGTCTAGCTACTGGAAAGTGGGGTAGCTGGTGGAGGAGGCCCAGTCCCAAACCGAGCAGGCTTTGAGATCTCAGCCCCGGGTTCCGTACACCTGGGTTCCTCTGCCGGTTCCTCGTCCAAGCGTGTGGAGAGTGGTCTCAGCATGGCTTTGGCTGGGTCCTGGAGGTCTTCAGCTGTCGGGGGGTCTGCTCAGGGCGGAGAGGGAAACTCAATCCGCCCTCCTCCACGGGGCCCCGGTGAGGACAGCCAGGCGTGGGGGCAGGAGACTCTGCCTTGTTCTCTTCCTGGAGCTTGGTTTTAGAGTCTCTGGATCCAGGCTGTTGATTTTTTTTAAACAAATGTTTTATTTACTCTCTGGCGGAAAGTTGTTTCCCGTTCTTTAACTGAAGTTGTAATCTCATACCATAAAGTCTATTGTTTTAAAGCATTTTAAAGCATTCAGTTTAGCAGCATTTAGTACATTAACAGCTTTACCTCTTTCCAAAACATTTTCATCTTCTCCAAAGGAAACTAATCTTGTTAGCAGTTAGTCCCCATTTTAACCTTTCCCTGTCCCAGGCATCTGACAGTCTGTTTGGTGTTCTGTATAACTATTCACCTCGTCTGCATTTTTAACGTAAATGGAATTATAAATTTGTGACATTATACTTGACTCGTTTATATTGTTTTTGAAATTTATCCATGTGTTGTGGCATGTCTTGATATTTTAATAATCTTGTTTTGCTATGAATTATTTAAGCCACTTTTGATGTATGTTTTATGATATTTTATTGGAAACGAGTATTATGGTCATTTTTTTCTAATAGAAATTTGGTTATGAAGCAAAAATAGTAAATTTGAAATACAGTTTTCAGAGTTGTGTCTTTTAAAAATTACTGGCATTAACATTTAAGGGTTTATTGGTGGGAAAGAGGCAGTGCACACCTGGCAGTGCTCAGGACTTACTCCTGGCTCTTCACTCAGGGATCACTTCCTTGTGGGCTCCGGAGACCATATGGGGTGCCAGGGTTCACAACTGGTCGACTGAATGTAAGAGAAATGCCCAGCCTGCTCTGGCCCCTTAACATTTAATATAAGCCATTGGGCCTGAGAAACAGCTCGGTGGTCTGAGCATGTGCTCGACTGATAGGAGGCCCAGTTTCTATATATGGCACTACATGTCCCCTGAGCATAGACTTGAGTAGCCTCTGAGCACCTTCCAGGTGTGTTTCAAAAATAAATTAAAAATAAATTAAAAATACCCCCAAATAAAATATAGGTCATTACTGAGATTTGAATGCTGAAACTGGATTCATGGGTAGCTAAGTAAATTTTTTCACCAAACAAAATGCTTTCAGTGCATTTTTGTGTATTCTAATTTAATTCATTGATGGCTTGTCATTTTTTGGTGGATTAATTTTGGGGGCTATATCCAGCAGTGCTCAGGACTTAACTCTGGCTCCGTGCCCAGGGGTCAGTTCTGGCTGTTCTTAGGAAATAGCAGTCTGACTGCTGTCAGCTACGTGCAAGGCAAGCGCCCTAACCCCTGTATGATCTCTCCAGCCTCATTTTTTCCAGTGATTTAAAAAATATATAATAATTTAAATAGTATGATTACAACAGTCTTTTAAATTTGTGGGGTTTTTTCCCCCCCTAGTATAGAGTTTGGGCCATACCCAGTGGTACGTAGGGCTTCCTCCTGCCTCCATGGTCAGGGTTCACTCCTGGTGGTGCTCAGGGGGCCATATGTGGCCCCTGAGATTGAACCCAGGTCAAGATTAGTTGCCTTAACCCCTATACTATCTCTTCAACCCCAGGTTCATGGTATTATGTACAAAGTTACTGCACACTTCCAGCACCAAAGTGCCCGTGATTCTGCACCACTGTCCTTATGTCACCTCTGGTCTGATCTACTTTTCCCCACTGTCCACTTTTCTTTCCTTTTTTTTTAGGGGGTGGGGGCACACCCGCCAGTGCAACTGATTAAGGGACGATATGGGATGGGGGATCGAATCCATTTCAGCCACATACAAGGCAAATGCCTTACCTGTTGTACTATCTCTCTGGCCCTGTCACTTCTGCTCTGACACTACGCCTATTACCCCTCCACTCCCATTTCTTTTCTTTTGGATTTTTGGGCTACACCCAGCAGTTCTCGGATTATTCTTGGCTCTGCACTCAGTAATCACTCCTGACGGTCTTAGGGAACATAAGGGCTGGGGATTGAACTGTGTGGGTCATGTGCACTGCAAGTGCCTTGTCCCTTGTACTATCTCTGGCCCTGGCCTTCAACCCATTTTTTTTTTTTTAGATTTTTATTAGTGAAACACCATGAGGTACAGTTGTAGACTTAAAAATTTTTGTGCTTGTGTTTCAGTTATACAGTGGTCAAGTACCCATCCCTCCATCATTGCCCATTTTCCACCACCACGGATCCCAGTATCTCTCCCACCCCCCATTTCCCCCATTCCACCCTGCCTCTGTGGCAGGGCATTCCTCCTTGTTCTCTCTCTCCTTTTGGGTGCTGTGGTTTGCAAAAGAGGCATTGAGTGTCAGCTCGGTTTTTGATAAATTTTATAATCCCAGACTCAGTGGCCTTCTCAGATTGCTCAAGAGTATAGGGATGGTGTGTTAAATGCACGTTTTTATTTCGCTGTTTCTGTGTTGTGGGAGCTAGAACTTCTCTCCCCATCTCCTTACCTTGTGCTTGGGGAACCATGAAGGCCTGGGGAGGGAACCCTCAGCCGTCATATGCAAAGCGTGGGTGTCAGCCCTTTGAAACCTTCCCCCTGCCCCAGAGTTAATTTAGTTTTTGTTTGTGGGGGTCGCACCTGGTGACACTTAAGATTTAACCCCAGCTCTGTGCACAGAGCTTACTCCTAGCAGTGCTTAGGAGACCATATGTGGTGTTAAAGATTGAACCTGGGTTGGCCACGTTCAAGGCTAGTGTCCTTCCTGCGGTATCTTCTCGACAGCCCAAGTCCTTTTATTTTGATGCAGTATAGATCTTTTTGAATATGTTATTTGTTTTGCTATTCCAGAAAGATGAACACACTTAGCAGGTTTTTTTGTTGTTGTTGTTGTTGTTCTGTGCCAGGGAGGGTGTGATGCTGGATTCTGTTGTGCACTGTAACCTTATCATTAATGTTACTGTAAACCACATTGCCAAAAATAAAGTTTCGTTTTTGTTTTTGGGCTACACCCAGCGATGCTCAGGGATTACTCCTGGCATTGCATTGAGGCATTATTCCTGCCAGTGCACGGGGGACCATATGGGATGCTAGGGATCGAACCCAGGTTTGCTGCATGCAAGGCAAACACTGCCTGTTGTCCTGTCTCTTCATCCTTTGAAATAAAAATTTTTGACCTGACTAGCAATAAATATATAGCAATAAATGTATACACATGTATACTTTGATTCTTTATAGTTTGATTTGTCTGTGAAGAGTCATCACTTTAAAGTGATAACTTTAGTAGGTAGTGAGATGTATTTGGGAGTCCCAGAGTAGTAGTTCAGTGGTTAAGGCATTTATCTGTGGCTGTGGCTACAGCAATGGTTAAAATCCTGACACTGCTTATGGTCCACTGGACACTGCCAGTATTGATTCCCCCTCCCCCCCAAAAAAAAATAAAGAAAAGGGCTGTATTTGGGGGGAAGTTCCTATATAAATTCACTAAGATGAAACTATACTTAAAGGAAAAAACAATATGTAACCTTCTAGAGGAATACTGATAGTGAAGATGTGAGGATGATTATTTTCTAAAGTATTTCAGAACTCCAGCATTTTTATAGGAGATGGTGATTGGGAAAGGTGAAATAAAATAATTTCATCAAAAAGTATTGTTTTAGGGGTTGGGGAGAGAGTACAGTGGGTAAGGCACATGTCTTGCATGGGGCTAACCTGGGTTTGATCCCTGGTACCCTATATGGTCCCCTGAGTACTCCTAGAAGTGAACCTTGAGTGCAGAGCTAGAACACCCCTGAACACCGTTGGGTGTGGCCCCATGCCCTGCTCCCTGCAAAGCAAAGAGTGAAATGTGTTTATTCAGAAATGTTTTAGATAGTATTACAGTGCTGCTATTTGTAGTGAACATCTTTTTCCCTACCTTAGTGTTCTAGGACGAAAGCACCACCATGGCTACAGAAATTGGTTCTCCTCCTCGTTTTTTCCATATGCCAAGGTTCCAGCATCAGGCACCTCGACAACTGTTTTATAAGCGACCTGATTTTGCGCAGCAGCAAGCAATGCAGCAGCTTACTTTTGATGGAAAACGAATGAGAAAAGCCGTAAACCGGAAAACCATAGACTATAATCCATCCGTAATTAAGTATTTGGAGGTAAGTACATGGCATACCTTTTAGATGTGCAGGCTTAGCCCTTTTTTTTTAAAAATAAGGTTTTTAAAGAGTTGGAAATGTAGTTTAGTGGTTTACATGTAAAGCAAGTAAGAGTTCTGTAGAAAAGAACTCTTATTTGCTTTCCATGTATGAGGACCTGGTTTAATCTCTCTTGTTTTTGTTCTCTGCCTGGCAGTACTCAGAGTTTAGTCCTGGCTGTAAGCTCAGGGATCACTCCTGGTGGTTTCAAGAGCCCATGGAGATTGAACCATGGTTGACTATATAGAAGGCAAACATCCTACCCACTATTACTGTTACTGTTACTCTGGCTTCTGAGTTTCAATCTTTAGCAGTACAGAACGAGAACAAAAATGTAAAACTGCAGGGTAGTAAGTTATTTAAAACAAGATTTTGGAGGCTGGGGGAAAGGCTCCCAGGTGGTGCTTGGTATGTATCGGGGCCCTACCTAGCGATTCTTGGCCACTGGCTGGTGTTCCACGGAAAGACCTACCTGTGTGGTGCTACCGGGTCGCTCTGTTGCAGTGCTTCCAGTCTCTGGCACTGTACCTGGTGATGGTTGGAGATTGTGTGCTATTGGGAATTGAACCCTAATCACTGTATTGCAACACCCACAATTTTGGGGATAGGTGATTGGTCTACCCCTGGCTGTGATCCTGACTGTTCATAGGTTGCTCTTGGCAGTGTTTGGGGGCTATATGGGTGCTGGGGATTGAACCATAATTGACTGCATGCAAAGCACCCCTGTACTAGCTTTCCGGCCCATAAAATGCCCACTGTTGAACCTTGATTTCAGTCTCTAACACCTTATTCTCTCCTGTCCCATCATTGGTTCCTATAGAGGGGACTCGAAGATACCCACTATCGTTTATGTTTGTGTGATTTTGGGGCTATGCCCAGCAGTGCTCCTATAGAGACCATATGGAATTCTAGGGATCAAACCCTAGTGGACTTCATGCAAGATAGAAGTGCCCTACCTGCATGTACTATTGCTCCAGACCCTTGTTTATGTTTTAGAACTGAGAATAATTTTGTTCTGTCTTCATTTAGTCACAGCTTATGTTTTGTTAATTGCTTAATTTCAAACAGACCATTTAACAATTTAATTAATTTGGTTTCAACAGAATAGAATATGGCAAAGAGACCAGAGAGATATGCGGGCAATTCAGCCTGATGCAGGTTATTATAATGATGTAAGTATGGAGTGCTACTCTTGTTTAATATGTGATCTGAAATTCAAGTATGCACATATCCTAATACATCCTTAAATTGAGATAAGCCATTCCCAAGGAGACATTAATACAACTGTGTAAACCTCGGTTATTCCCTTTGATCTCAGTTTAAATTCTGTTTTAAATCTATTGACAAATGAGCCTTTTGATTATGGGCTTAAAGTAGTGTCTAACAAAATGTACTTCCTCAAAAAGTGTGTAATGAAAAAGGTTTAAATTTAGCTTGATGTGAATATGCATAGGGAATCTTGTCCTTAATTGTTACTGTTTAGTAGTAATAGACATTCAACTTTATTTTATCTCCATTTTCCTTAACTTAGGTTATAATTTATTAAATATTTTTGAATGCCCTAGAATTTATCTTTAAATGTTGAAATGAGTACCTTACCATGCCCTTGGTTTATGCCTTGTGAATAACCAGGAGCTTTTAGGAACTAATTTTCTTGTTTTCTTTTTTGTAGTTGGTCCCACCTATAGGAATGCTGAATAATCCTATGAATGCAGTAACAACAAAATTTGTTCGGACATCAACAAATAAAGTAAAGTGTCCAGTATTTGTTGTTAGGGTAAGTATTAGGCTATGTCTTTCTATTTATCTATCTATCTATCTATTCTTTTTTTTTTTTTTTTTTTGGCTTTTTGGCTTTTTGGGTCGCACTTGGAGATGCTCAGGGGATGCTCTGGCTCCTCACTGAGGAGTTACTCCTGGCGGTGCTCAGGGGACCATATGGGGATGCTGGGGATCAAACCTGGGTTGGCCGCGTGCAAGACAAACGCCTTACCTGCTGTACTATAGCTCCAGCCCGACTTTGAATATTGTGGAGAAAAATAGACCCAAGTTAGTCTGCAGATATATTCAACAGAATAGCAAGAATTTGGGGTAGGGTACTTTACGTGTGTGCTGCTGGCTTGGGTTCAGTAGTGCACTATCTGCTACGCTAACCCACAGTGCATAATCTCTGAGCACTACTGGGTGTGGCCTGACCCCAGAAGAGACAGTGATGGACATACATAGATGCAAAGGAAAATAAGTAGATCTTAGCAGATAATAAACTAGGAAAACAAGAAGGTTTTGTTTATAACAATCAGTGTCACAATAAATAAAATTCCAGGTTTCCTATATATGTATAGCTATGAAATTTAGCAAGTAGTCTTCATTTTATATATGTAATATCCCTTTTTCCTGTTATAATATTTGTAATTTTTTCATCTGATAGTTTTATTTTGGATAATGGGGTTGTTATGTTATTTTATTTACATCTAAGGAAATGGATGTCGTTTATCATAGAAATCAAGGGAATAAGTATATTGTAGTTTGACTTAGTCAACATAGTCACAGATTCTCCTTCAGTATGCAGATTGTGATATGCTGTGACTGGTATATTAGGGGTTTAATTTATTTATTTTTTATTATTATAGACCCTTGATTTCACAGGTTATTTATAAAATAGTTGCTTCAACCAATAAATGTTCCAACACCAATCCCACCACCAGTGTCCCTAGTTTTCTTCCCAACCATCCCAGCACAAATTTACTTACTGTTATAGCACAAAGGCAAATGGAATTATCAAATTTTAGATCAATAAAAGTGAAATTGTGTAACTGTTATATCCCACCTATAGGAATGCTGAATAATCCTATGTAGTTGAATTATCCCCATATGGTCCCCACAATGATGTTGACCAAAGTCATAGTCTGAGGATCTGTTTTGCTAGTTAGTGCTAGTTGAGCCTCTGTTATTTATTGTTCATCAAGCTTGGTGAGGTATTATCTGAACCACATATACGACTGCGCAGTTCAGAAGCTATAGATCTAATACAGTTTGGTGACTTGGCGGTTTTGGGGTTTTTTTTTTCCCCTTCTCATTTTTTTGATAAGGTTCAGTTGAGCTGGACAATTTCTAAGTCAAGAGTGTTGGATGTGACTGTGGGATTCTGGGCTTTCAGGCAGAAGGGTGAATTTGTCCTCTCCTGTTCTGAGAAGGGCCCAGAGTTTTTTTCCCCGAACCGGTCTGTTCTCTTGGAGCATCTTTAAAAAAATTTTTTTTTGAGTAAATATAACATGATTTTTCACTGCTTTGTTCTCAGTGGAAGAGAACTTTATTCCACCTTGTTTTCAGCCTCCTCCCTCTTCTTTCTTCCCTCCTTCCTCCCTCCTTTTCCCCATCTCTTCTTTATTACTACTACTTCTACTACTGCTACTGTTATATTTTGTTCACACCCAGCTATTCTCATAGTTTGCTTTTGGCTCTGTGCTCGGGGATCACTCCTGTTGATACTTTGAGAACAACTCTATGTGTGTGGTACCCAGAATCAACCTCATGCAGGCCAAGCACTTTACCCCATGTACTATGTTTCCAGCTTTGGCAGGGAGCTTTAAAACATTGCTTGTTATAGAGTATATTTAATTGCCAGGAAATTCTGTAGCCTTGGTATTCTTTAATTAGTCTGTACCCCATCCCCCTTTCATTTAAATGCTGGTACCTTTTTTGTCTGAATTGGTTTGTTGATAGTTATAATAAGCCAAATTCTTTTTTTAAATTTTATAACTTAATATTAAGTCATCTCTTTAGTTACAGACATTCAATATTCCAACACCAATCCCATTACCTTTGCCCCTTCTGGCCACCTGTAAGCTGAATTCTTGAGTTAGAGTTTTCCTAAGTAGCTAACCCATCTAATTTATGTCAGCCTTCCATATACTGTAGGTAATTGAGATCCTTACATATTTTGTTTTGAAATGCTCTTTAACAGTTGTTTATAACTTAACTCGGTACTCATAAGGCACTTAAGTTTGAATTTTGGTAATTAGCTCAAGAGCTATCCTGTGTTAATGCAAGTTCTTTTCATGATTCTTGCTTATAAAGCTGACCTACATTTAAATGGAAGCACTTTTTACTTGATATCAGTTGTGCCAGTTTTATTAAAGACTTTATGTGTTTCAGAAATTTCTTAGGGTTGGGGATGAGGATTTGTTACCTTATATAATTTGTCTTTTTTTCTTCTCCAGTGGACTCCAGAAGGAAGACGGTTGGTCACTGGAGCTTCTAGTGGAGAGTTCACCTTGTGGAATGGACTCACTTTCAATTTTGAAACAATATTGCAGGTAACATTAATTCTCAGATGGCAGCACAATTCTGTGAGAGAGACTGTAAAGTGCATGACATTATTAACTTAAAATTGGACAAATGATCACTGAGTATTTATGTGCCTGTATAGATTCATACTGCTTTCTTTCATGTACGGTGATTCCAAATGTTTTCTGTTTCCATAGGCTCATGATAGCCCTGTGAGGGCCATGACTTGGTCACACAATGACATGTGGATGTTGACGGCAGATCACGGAGGATATGTGAAATACTGGCAGTCGAACATGAACAACGTCAAGATGTTCCAGGCACATAAGGAGGCGATTAGAGAGGCCAGGTTTATACACAATATACCATTTTTTGTAGTCCCTATTGTCATGGTTAAATTATTCTCTAAGTGTATTCTGGGTGCAGAGATGCATGGGCTCTGTCACATTCTGGGAAACTTTCTGCACCCTATAAACACAATATTTTTCTTTGTTTTCACACATTCACCATTTTGCTGGCACTTTCCTGAAGTAGTGTTATCCTGGTTTCAGCCTTTGCAATATGTTAGAGATGTATTGTCTGCCGCATTTTGCACTGGTTTTCTCTTCTCATTTATGGTTAATAATGTGTATACTTTATTCTTTTTTATTATCTATTGTGTAAGATAAGATTATTTTCTTTCAAATAAAGAATTCAGTCTTTAATTATACAACTGAATAAAATCTAAAGCCTACAGAAAACACCTTCAGAGTTCACACAAAATACAAGGGACAAAAAAGGCTTAAGTGAAGACCCGGTTGGCTTGGTTAGGCCACGACTTCAAAAAGGAAAGTATAGTAGGACTTAAAAAGCACACAGATAACTCTGGACGTGGTAAGCGTTAATGGATTAACGAATGGGTTCTTCAAGCTTTGTGATCAGATCTTTGTCAAGAAGACTCTAGGACTTTTCTTCTGAATCATTGTTGATAACATCACTAATGCAAATGTATAAGTGGAGTTTTAAATAATATTCAGTAAGCTGTATCTTTTTACGTATCAGTGAGACATGTATAGTAAAGCCGGAGAAAAAAGTTTCAAAAACAAGTCTGAAGAATTGCTGCAGCCTCAAAATAAAGCTCCGCAGCATTCGTTATGGTTGTGCCACCCACATGTGGGAGGAGGTCGGCAAGTTTGTAGACACATGATCCACTGCACTCACTCTGTACTCTGAGGATTTTAACAGAAATTACCGGACAAAAACGCTTCTGCTGAGTCTCTGCCTTAGTGTCCTGCCCATACGGTGAATTTTCAGTTGGTCCTTCCTTAGTCTTGGGATTCAAAAATAAAAGAGAGTTCATAGAGTTAGTAGAGAAGCTTGATAGTCTTTCACAATAGCAAGGAAAAATGATTTTCTCTTTTACTGCATATTCTTTGGGATTAAGCACAAATCTGAATGCTCCTAATGTTCCAGTTTTTCCTCAAAAATACCAGTATCCATGAGATAGCTTGCAAGGAGGATGTGAAAACTTTTCCCAGATCTTTTAAATAAAAAGAAAAACTTGATATGTAGGATGTGGTCTTAAATAGCCTGCCTTTTCTCAGCTTATGTTATAAAGTATTAGAAGCAGAAGCTGATGCTAATTTCTTGATGAGTATTCCTGTGGGATTTTAAGAGACTTCACAGGAATATTGCAAAAATAACATTCATTTAGCCTCTACACATAAATTAGCTTTGTATTTTCTGTTGACAGGATAGGCAATACAGTACTGCACTACAATACTGTGGGAAGTTTGGGTAACATTAATACTAATAATACACCTAAAAAGTTCTCTGAATAGTAATGATAGAAAATGTGAGAAGCAGCTGCTTGGTTGAATTCTTTTTTTGATGAATTTTGGTTAGGTGACATCATTCTCTTTAAGGGCTTCTTCACTGTTGGAGAATTCCCCCTCCTGTTTATAACGCAGCACAATTTTTATTTTTCCCTGTCTGAGAAGCACAGATAATCTGTTAAATGCTGACTTCTTTCCCCTGCTGTGTGTCTTCATGTAACAGTTTCTCACCCACGGATAATAAATTTGCTACATGCTCTGATGACGGCACTGTTAGAATCTGGGACTTTCTTCGTTGCCATGAGGAAAGAATTCTCCGAGGTACGTGTACTAACAGTACTGATTGGAATATATAAATAGAGACGGCATTTGTGGTTAAATCACATTGATACCACAAACCCCGCTTACATCTCCATTCAGCTTTCTCACATGTACACCATTTCAGTAAGACTCTTTAAAAGAAACTTGAACTCAGGTTCACAATCATTTTGTAGACTTTTTTTCCCTAATAATGTTATCTGTGAATTCTTTCAGCTATAAATTAAATACAGGTTCCCTCCATTTCCTCCCCCTCCAGTTACTTGCTTATCAGTATGCTTATTTAGGGATCAGTATGCTTCTTTAGGGCCCTACTTTTTCTTATACTCAGGATGTCTTCCTTCAACATACTGACACTGTAATTCTGCTTAGAGGGCTCACAGTTCCCAGGCATTCCTTTCTTAGTGAATTAACTGAGATACTGATACTTAGACTTCTCAGTATTACTGGTTTTGAAACTAGGTGGCCTTTCAGTATACTAAACTTAAACTACGCAGCCCACATATTTTCAAATTTTGGATTTCTTGTTTAGTTTTTTTTTTTTTTAAAGAATCTCATGCTCTACCGACTGAGTTAGCTGGGTGCTTACTTTCATTGATTTTATAATTATTAACTAAAATCTTCGAGTTATTAGAAGAAAATATTTTCACTTGAATTAGCTTACTATTTCACTTCTTGAAATAGTAACAACATATCAGTGCCATTTATGTGACTTAAATGGTGGCAGGGAATGAGGGAATATTTTTATGTTGTATATATGCATTGAAACTAAACATTTCTGACAAAATTCATTTCTTATTAACTTGGAGGAGAGTGCTCAGTTTGAGTCTGTACTGATTTAATAGTACTCTAGATAAGTACATATACTATAAAATTATTGTCATCCTCTAGCACATAAATGAAGGATGGAATAATGGATGCTATAGATGCCATAGATGCTATTTGGTACCAAGAACTTACCTTTCAAGGTCTAGGGATATGGCTCAGCATTAGCGCACTTACCTTGCAGGTGTGAGGCCGAGGGCTTGATCTCCAGCACTTTGAACATGACTGTTCAGACTTCCTTTTCTGTTCAAGAGTTTGCAGTTGTCTTGGTTTACTTGTCAGGTTCTTGCGACTTTTCAGAGCTTTATGTGTATCTTGTTGGGTTCATGCTTTCTAGACAAAATAAAGGCTCTTGGTATTTATATTTCAACTTAGAATTTATCCAATTCAGATTTGCTTAAGCTTTCCTGACTTTGCACATTTTATTTTCTTATCCATAGTACTGTATTGTATTAGCGAAGAGAAGGATATATCTGTCATTTGTGAGCTTGCTCAAAGATAGTTTTATTTTACAACTTCAGAATTAGAATTTCAGAGTAACTTCAGAATGTTTGAGATCATCTAGTCTTAAGTTATTTTATGGATGAGGACAATAATCCAAAAGGCTTCATTGATAATGTTCAGGGTAAGTGTTTAGAATCTGTACTGGAATCTTCCTACTTGATTCCTTGACTCAATGCTGCGCTCAGTGCTGCTCTCATGTCATTCTTTATCATTAGTAGAAGTCCTTAGGTTTTAAGTGGAAATAAAGTAAACACGTTTTAGGCATTAAAAATCTAAAAAACATAGAAGAAGCAAAATAATTTTATTCTTTATAGAAGTATTTTGTTCTGAGGCCATTCCAGGCAGACTTGGACCATCAGTCACTGCGTTAGTTGGCGAACGCTTCCCAGTCACATTGGTTTGGGAACTGGGACAAGTCCCCAGTATCCCGCCTTGCCGCCCTCTCCTCCCCCCCCCCCCCCCCCCCCAGCAGTTTCCCTCTTTCTCTCTCTCTACTTATGTGCATTATGGTTTGCAATACAGATGGTGAGAGGCCATCATGTTTGGTCCTTTATCTACTTTGAGCACACATCTCCCATCCTGAGTGATCCCTCCAGCCATCACTGACTTAGTGACCCCCTTCTCTTTCCCATTTGTCTTCTCCCCCAGCTTACACGGCAGGCTTCCAGTGATGGCACAATCTTCCTGCCCGTGTCTCTACTGTCCTTGGGTGTTTGTCGCATATTATGATATTTTATATTCCACAGATAAGTGTAGTCACTCTGTGTATGTCCCTCTGTTTCTGATTCACTTCATTTAGCCTGGTACTCTCCGTGAGCATCCACTTATAAGCAAATTTCATGAATTCATCTTTCCTAACAGTTGCAAAGTATTCCGTTGTGTAGATGTACCAAAGTTTCTTTAACCAGTTGTCAGTTCTTGGGAACTCGTTTTTTTTCAGATTCTGTCTATTGTGAACGTACAAGTGTAGATGAACTCTGACGCTTTGTATTGGAATAGTTTTACTTAAGTAAAACGGGTGGGCTGGAATGATCGGGCATGCAGGTGGAATGCTTGCCTTATATATGGCAACCTGGCAACCTGGTTTCGATCCTTCGCACCCCACATGTTTCCCTGAGCCCTGCCAGGAATGATTCCCTGAGCACAGAGCCAAGAATAAGCCCTAAGCACAGCCTGTTATGACCCCAAAAACAAAACGAAAAAAGTCCAGTATGAACAAGGGCTGGAATGTATGTAATTCAGCAGTAAGGTACTTGTATATGTGAAATATTGGATTTTATCTTTTATTCCTGTATCATACCCCCTCTACCCCCCCCCCCCCCACACACACACACGCAATGTCCCGTAACAAGTAACTCCACTAACATGGAGTGTTTGAAGATTAAAACCACATCATGGGGGCTAGAGTGATAGCACAGCGAGTAAGGGCATTTGCCTTGCACGCGGCCGACGCAGGTTCGATTCCCAGCATCCCATATAATCCCCCGAGCACTGCCAGGAGTAATTTCTGAGGGCATGAGCCAGGAGTAACCCCTGTGCATTGCCAGGTGTGGCCCAAAAAGCAAAGAAAAAAACTGCATCGTGGACATCTCACTTCATCACTGTACTTTCATTTGGACATATTTTGGATATAGATAGTTACTGTTCTGAAGATGTAAAACCTTGGATCTTGGTAGGTTATTCTTTGTAAATAATTATGAAACAGAAAAGACTTAGTAGTTCAGACGTGTTTAAAGAAGTTAAACTGTTGGATTGTAAGATAGAATTATATACTGTGTATTCACATTTTAATTGAGGTTATTTTAGATATTGAGGCAAGATGGTTTTCTTGAATGAAGTTTGGCTTAGAAAGATGTGAGAGAAAAGTGGAGTATGTATTTTAGATTTTATACCGAGATTTCTTCTACTTTTTGCTCTTACTTGAAACACTGTGCTGTGGCAAATGCTTGTGAAAATAGATCTGTGGCTTAGGTGGTTTATCTATGTTCTTGTTGCTAGAATAGTTGCTCTTTTTTTTTTTTTTAATTGGTGTTGGACTTCACCCTGGTTCTGTGCTCAGGGCTCATACCTGCTTGTGTTTGGTGACCATATGGTGATGAGAATTGAACCAGGGTTGGGTGTGTGGAAAGCAACTATCCCTACCCTGTAGTGTCTCTCTCGCAGCCTTAATAGTCAGTAGTTTAATTGATTAAAGGACAGTTCTCAGACATTCGTGAATATATAGTTTGCAGTTTTTTTTGGGAGTGTCAGATTATTATAATTAGTAATTTAATCTGTTTTAAGGAAGAGTCTTTACATCTTACTATTATTATTCAGTTTATTTTGATTGTGGGTTTTTGTTTGTTTTGTTTTTTGCTTTTTTTGAGCCATACCCTGGCAGTACTGAGGGGTTACCCCTGACTCTACACTCAGGAATCACTCCTGGCGGTGCTCAGGAAACCATATGGGATGCTGGGGATCGAACTCAGGTCGGCCATGTGTGAAGGAGGTGCCCTCTGTGCTATGCTGTCCATTCCAGCCCATTATCGTTTTAAATATCTATACATCAGTGCATTTCTTACTTTCATATTGTCGAGCTTCCCAACAGATTAGATCTTTGCTAATTTTCATTTCACTTTTCTTTTAAAAAAATTTTTTGGGCCCCCTACTGTATCTTGCTCATTGTTAGGAGTCATTCTTTTTTCTTTTAACTCTTGAATCACTGTGAATTTCAGTTACTCATTGAGTTTCATGCGTACAATATTCCAACACCAGTCCCTTTACCAGTGTCCCCTGTTTATCTCCGGCTCCCAGCCTGCCTCTGCGGTGGGCACTGTTTCCTCCTTTCCCTTTATCCCTGTGCTGTTACTGAAAGGGTGTCAACTGTGCCACTTTCCCTGCTTTCAGCACCTAGTTCTGTTAAGAGTGACTGTTTGCTTTTAACATTATCTTGGTGGTCCCTTCCCTGTCCTACAAAGGACCAGTTGTCCTGTGCTTGATTCCTGTTTTGGGGGTAATATTCTCCTATAGTGTTTCTCTATATCCTGAAAATGAGTGTGATCATTCTTTGGACATTTTTCTCCCGCTGACTCATTTCACTCAGCATGACACTTTCCATGTCTATTCATGTATCAGCATATTTCATAACTTTGTCTTTTTTAATGCCTGCATAGTATTCCATTATGTAGACGAACCATAAATTCTTCCCCCCCCCCCCCCCCCTCTTTTTTTCCCTCTTTTGTTTTTGGGCCACACCTGCAGTGCTCAGGTCTTAACTCCTGGCTTTGCACTCAGGAATTATTCCTGGCAGTCCTCAGGGGACTATATGAGACACCAGGGATTGAACCCTAATCAGCTACACGAAGGCGGGCGCCCGACCTGCTGTATTATCACTCTGGGCTAGCATAGCTCCTTTATCTACTCATCTGTTCTTAGGGAGTGCATTGTTTATAGGTTTTGGCTGTTGTGAATAATGCTGCAATAAACACAGAAGTGCAGTTGTCTTTTCTGCAATTTGGTTTGGATGCCTACAGTAAATTCCTTGGAGCTATATTGCTGAGTTGTATGGAAGCCCAATTCCTAGCTTTTTGGAGGAATGTCCATAGTTTTTTCCAAAATGCAGGGCCAGTGACCTCTTAGCACACCTGTATTGCAAATCATAATGCACTAAAGGAAGGGGAGAGAGCAAGAAGGAA